ATTTTTGGTTGTCACATCTGGGGAAGAGGGGCAAGCGTGGCCGGCATCTAGTAGGCCAGAGATGCTGCTAAACATTCTACAATGCGCAGGACACTCCTCACCACAACAAAAACTATGCAGCCCAAAATGTCAGCGTTGCCAAGGTTGAGAAACCCTCTGCTACATAAACTAAATCACAGCAGCGCTGTTTGTCCCAGAGCACGATTCATACGTGGTGTGGCGGGGTCATGACTGGCCTCCGCTAAGCACTTCATTAGACAGGTGTCGCACACCGGGTGGGACTGAAAGCACAGAACAGCCTGCTGAAAGCTGGGGAGGGAGTGCAGAAAAGTTTTCAAGAAGTGGCCATGCCGGGCGGGGTGGCTCACGCCTGTAATCCCAGCACTTTGGGAAACCCAGGCGGGCGGATCAGTTGAGGTCAGGAGTTTGAGACCAGCCTTGCCAACATGGTGAAACCCTCTCTCTACTAAAAATACAAAAAAATTTGCCAAGCGTGGTGGCACGCACCTGTAATCCTAGCTACTCGGGAGGCTGAGGCATGAGAATCACTTGAACCTGGGAGGCAGAGGTCGCAGTGAGCAGAGATCGCACCACTGCACTCCAGCTTGGGTGACACAGCAAGACCCTGTCAAAAAAAAAAAAAAAAAAAGTTGCCCTATTTCAAGAGAAAGGGGCACTTTCTGAGCCTACTCTCCCCTAAGCCCAGCTCTCCTGCTCACCCTACCAGGGTCAGAACCATCTCTGCCTCCAATTCATAGTCCTTTAAGTAAGAATCCTTTTAATATACCCTAATGTCCCAACCAAACTAATCTTGAAAGCTTCTATGTAGATACAAAGTGCTCCTGAAATCCCTATCCTCAGAAATGCTTCTGAGCCAAATGGACCCTGAACCCTAAACAACCGTGTCCATGCATGTGGCAAGAGCTTGTGAAAAACAAAACTGGGCCAGGCGCAGGGGCTCACACCTGCAATCCTAGCACTTTGGGAGGCTCAAGTGGGCAGATCACTTGAGGTCAGGAGTTCGAGACCAGCCTGGCCAACATGGCGAAACCCTGTCTCTACTAAAATTATAAAAATTAGCCGGGCGTGGTGGCTCACACCTGTAGTCCCAGCTACCCAGGAGGCTGAAGCTGGAGAATCGCTTGAACCGGGAGGTGGAGGTTGCAGTGAGCCGAGATTACGCCACTGCACTCCAGCCTAGGCAACAGAGTGAGACTCGGTCTCAAAAAAAAAAAAAAAAAAAAAGAAAAGAAAACAAAAAGAAAGCTCTTGGGAGTGGATATTGGCTCAGAAAACCAAGGTTTGTGGCTGAAAGGGGCCTCAGGGGCTGCCTATTTCAACTCAGAGAACAAGCTGAGGCCCAGGAAAAAGTCATGTGAGGTTACACAGAAAGTCCCTTGCTATTAATTTCTATTGCCAATTAGCTGAACGCAGTTCACTTTTCCTTTTTAGGGAATTAACGGAGTCCAGCTCTGAAGATTAACATCCTTTCTTAACCCACCTACATCTCCAACAGAGCCCATGATCCTGAAATTGTCCATTTCTACCTTGTAGCTTTCACAAGCCAGTAGTTGTAGTGCATAATTATCAACCTCACCATTTTTAAAAACAAATTTTTAAGACTTTTTAAAAAATGTCTATATGCTCTCAAGATGTCTTTCCCACAGGATGTCTCAGCCTTTGAGGCTGGGGGTCTTTGGCTGACCAGGGTTTCTTTTTCTTTTTTTATTTTTATTTTCTTTTAGACAGAGTTTTGCTCGTTGCCCAGGCTGGAGAGTAATGGCACGATCTCGGCTCACTGCAACCTCCACCTCCGGGGTTCAAGCGACTCTCTTGCCTCAGCCTGCTGAGTAGCTGGCATCACAGGCATGCGCCACCGGCTAATTCTTTTGTTTGTTTGTTTTTGTTTTTTGTTTTTGAGACAGAGTCTCGCTCTGCCGCCCAGGCTGCAGTGAGTGGCGCGATCTCGGCTCACTGCAAGCTCCGCCTCCCGGGTTTACGCCATTCTCCTGCCTCAGCCTCCCGAGTAGCTGGGACTACAGGCGCCCGCCACCTCGCCCGGCTAGTTTTTTGTATTTTTTAGTAGAGACGGGGTTTCACCGTGTTCGCCAGGATGGTCTCGATCTTCTGACCTTGTGATCCGCCCGCCTCGGCCTCCCAAAGTGCTGGGATTGCAGGCGTGAGCCACCGTGCCCCGCCCAATTTTTGTATTTTTAGTAGAGACGGGTTTTCTCCATGTTGGTCGGGCTGGTCTCGAACACCCAACCTCATGTGATCCGCCACCTTGGCCTCCCACAGTGCTGGGATTACGGGCGTGAGCCAGCGAGGCCCGGCTGAACAAGGGTTTCTTGGTCCGCATTCTGCTTCTGTGGAATGAGCCAGGAGCCAGTTAGGCCTGATTTGGCATCTGGTTTCCGGAGGAAAAACTCAGACTCTGACCTGGGCAACAAACTGAATCCTGAACTTGAGGTCACAGGGCAGGTGTGAGCAGTGGAGAGCAGCAAGACTGAGAGGGAGGCGAGCAGCAAGAGTGGTCATTCCATACACACAGGAGGGCAGTTCCTCCAAGGTCAGGGGACACAGGGCACAGGGATCCAGGGTCAAGTGCAAGGTCCCCAGAGGAGGCCAGAGAGTCGGGGTGGAGGGTCGGCGGGGGATCGGTCCCAGCAGGTGGGAAGGATTCCGGGACCAGACCTAAGGGATCATGAGCACAGCTGCTGCAGGCAGAGGGGCCCCTGGAGAAGCTGGGGACAAGCTGCAATAGACACTTCCTTGAGGGAAGGGCTGTCAGGGAGGCCTCCTGGGGTGGAAGAGGGTGGTCAGGAGGCTCCTGGAGGCGGCGCTGCCCCGGGGCGCTACCTCACCTGGGGCCCGGCCCCCGCGCTCTCGACCGCCGCCTCTGCCCGCGCAGCGCGGGTACAACTCGCCAGCACCACGAACTCGGATGGTTCGTTGGGCGCGGCCCTCAGCAGAGCTGCCTTCACAGACGTGGTGCCCAGGTCAATGCCGAGGGTGATCGGCCGCGCAGCCATTATCTCCCCGACCCGCGCAGCTCCGGTCTGCAGCCGGCGGCCCCACACGTCCGCGGCTTTCACTCGGGAGGGCGGGGCAGGGGCGGGGAGTCGCCTGCCAATCTTTCAGCCACATGGAGGTTTCTCGCCTTCCCATTGGTCGGGAAAGGCGAGCCAATCTTTCAGCCACACGGAGGTTTCTCGTCTTCCCATTGGCCGGGGTAGGCGGGTTTCCACGCAACCCTCGCGGCGGGCCCTAGCTATAGGCGGAGAGGCGACAGAAGGCGGGACCTAAAGGGGACCCCGCCCCGCAGGGCTCCGGTTTCCGCCCAGTGGAGAGCTGTCTGAGCTCCGCTCACCAAAAGAGCCGGGAAACGCTGGCGGCTCCAAGAGCTTCTGTGTCACTGGCAGCGGCCTCATCCTCCCTCACGCCGAAGCCCCGATCCCTGCGCCCCGACCCAGCTGCGCTTTCTCCGGCCAAGACGCGTGAAAACTACAACTCCCAGAGTGCATCTCGCCGAGATCGGACCCCAGTCAGGTGGCAGAGGTCAGGTGACAGCGGACCCGCCTCTCCCAAAGTCTAGCCGGGCCCGGGAACGCGGTGCATTCCAGACCGGCACCTGGCGAGGCTCCTGCGTCCCCTGAGGGCGGTTCCCCGAGCTGGGGGGCTCAGGTGAGAGCGGGCGCAGCCTCCCGTTTCCCAGGCGGGCCCCTTGAGGCACAGCAGGTCAGCGGGGCAGCCTGCCGGGGGTCCAGCGCCCTCAGCCGCGCCGGGCTCTTTTCCCCGCCACCAGTGCTGGCCTCGCGACACCGGACAACCCCGGGGTGGAAGGGCCCGAGCGCTGGTCAGCGCAGGCAGGGACAGCGGGCTGCCGGGGTGGGTACCGTTCCCAGCCCCTTCCCTTCTGCTCAGTTGCCGCCTGGGTCTGGGTTGGGAATTTGCAGATTGCTTTGGAGACGGTGAGAGGACCTTTGCGAGAGCGCCGGTTGACGTGCCAAGTTCGGGGCTCCGGGGGACTGAGCAACAGGAGACCCCACCCTCCCCTCCGGGTTTTCACTCAGGGCTAAGGGAGGACTCCTGAGCCCTGCCTCTTCCAGTAACATTGAGGAGGATAACTGTGCTTTGTGAGAGCTCGCTACGCGCCCTAAGCAACAGAGGTAACCACTTTATATCCTTGTTTCTCAACCTCCTTATTCCTACCCACCCCTCTCCCATAAAATTTAATACCACTAGTACACTGGGTATTTGTTTACGTGACCACAAACCATTGTAATAGCTAGATTTTTTTCCACCACCACCTCCCCCCACCACCCCAAGCCATTTTTTCTTTTTTTTTTTTTTTTTTTTTGAGATAGAGTCTCCAGCCTCTGTCGCCCAGGACTGGAGTGTGGTGGCGCCATCTCAACTCACTGCAACCTCCGCCTTCCGTGTTCAAGTGATTCTCCTACCTCAGCCTCCCAAGTAGCTAGGACTACAGGCCCGAGCCACCATGCCCAGCTAATTTTTGTATTTTTAGTAGAGACGGGGATTCACCATGTTGGCCAGGCTGGTCTCGAACTCCTGACCTCAGGTGATCTGCCCACCTCGGCCTCCCAAAGTGCTGGGATGACAGGCGTGAGCCACCACGCCCAGCCTACCCCCAGTCAATTTTAGTCCAACTTGACAATGCATGCTTTACATCTCCTCATTTAAGTCCTGTGAAGTAGTTACCACTGTCCCTGTTTAGCACCACACGGTCACATAAGTAATAAACGCGAACCCAGGTTCAAACCTGTCTCCAGTGTACACAGCCCTTACCACTATTTGTATACCCTCTGCAAAAGCAGGAGACCCAGGGAGTTCCAGGTCGTAGAACAGAGGACAGGACCAACTCATACCTGGCAGAGAGGAGCTGCCACAGGAGACCCATAGCCCCAGGTTGCTTCTGGGAAGGGACTGAATGGGTGAAACAACATGTGACATCTGAATGAGGCCTGGACAATTGTTAGAACTTACATAGTAAGGGCACACCAGACAGAGCCCATTGTCAAGAGATACTTCATTTCTATCTTGTAGCTTTCACAAGCCACTAGTTTTATGTAATTATCAATCTGTTTTGTTTGTTTGTTTGTTTTTGAGATGGAGTTTCACTCTTATCACCCAGGCTGGAGTGTAATGGTGCAACCTCGGCTCACTGCAACCTCTGCCTCCCGGGTTTAAGCGATTCTCCTGCCTCAGCCTCCCAAGTAGCTGGGACTACAGGCACATGCCACCATGCCCAGCTAATTTTCGGATTTTTAGTAGAGACGTGGTTTTGCCATGTTGGCCAGTCTGGTCTCGAACTCCTGACCTCAAGTGATCCAACTGCCTCTGCCTTCCAAAGTGCTAGGATTATAGGCATGAGCCACTGCGCTCAGCCTAATCTGATGTTTTTTAACATTTTAGTTGACTTACCTCTCAATGTCGTTTTGTCTGTGCTGGCATCATTCCTCCAGGTGTCTCAGCCTTTGAGGCTTGGGGATATTTGCTGACCAAGTCTGTGAGTTCGAGAAGCTGGTTAGGCCTGATTCTGCATCTAATTTCTGGAGAAAAACCACTCTACCCGGGGCAGCAAACTGAATCCCGAACTTGAGGTCACAGGGCAGGTGTGAGGAGCGGAGAGCAGCAAGACTGAGAGGGAGGCCTGTGGTCATTCCATACACACAGGAGGGCAGTTCCTCCAAGGTCAGAGCACAGGAATCCGGCGCCAAGGGCAAGGCCCCCAGGGGAGGCCAGAGCGTGGGTGGGGTGTCATTCCTGGCCAGTGGGAAGGGTCTCAGATGAGGCAGAGCTGCAGCAGCCGAAGAGAGAACCCTGGAGGAGACAGGGGCCAGACAGAGGTCAGACAGCTGGAGCGGCCAGGGGGGCTTCTTGAGGAGTATGTAAGGGAGTTGTCAGGACATGCTGGAGGCCTTGGGGACACTGAAATCAGAGTAGGAACAGGGATCTCTCCATACAGACCTTACCCAGTGCTCCCCACAGTTTGCAGGAGCCCCAGGAGGCTGTCAGCGTGGGAGGACCTGAGCACTGTGTACTGAGGCAGCGTAGAGACCAAGCTACAGAAATCCATGCCAGTCTGCTTGCTCTTGACCCACGGTTCACCTGCTGTGTGTTGGGGTTACAGGAATGCAGCTCCCCATCTTCCACACTAAACCGAGGAGTTGCTCTGGGGCTCATCCCTCCCCGAGTCCTCCTTGTGAATGACCCCAGCCAGTCCTGAAATAGTGACACTTGTCAAATAAAGTCTTGACAGACATGGTGGCTCACACCTGTAACCCCAGCACTTTGGGAGGCTGAGGCAGGCAGATCGTTTGAGGTCAGGAGTTCCAGACCAGCCTGGCCAATGTGGCGAAACCCAATCTCTACTAAAAATACAAAAGTTAGCTGGGCATGGTGGCGGGCACCTGTAATCCCAGCTGCCCAGGAGGCTGAGGCAGGAGAATTGCTTGAACCCAGCAGGGGAGGTTTCAGTGAACTGAGTTCGCACCACTGCACTCCAGCCTGGGCAACAGAGCAAGACTCTGTCCCAAAAAAAATTTTTTTTAATATGTATATTAAAAAAACAATTTTTTTTTTAAGTCTTAAGGGTCAGTTGGTGTCATCAGCCCTTAGACTGTTATCCCAGGACAGCAAAGGAAACTAATTTCCTTGAGGTTTGTAGGTTCACAATGTCAAATATCTGACCACAGTTTTAACTTTTGGAGAAAAAGAATCCCAGGCTAGTAAAACTGCATCCTTTCTTTCTGCTAAGTTTTTGCTAAAAGCAGTTGAGGAGGGAAAAATTCTGGTCTTTGTTCACTTCCACAGGGGGGTACTTTACACAACCCATTTGGCTCCCCGAGCCCGTTTCCCGTATATCAAAGGAAGATAAGGCCTCTCTGGGTGGCCCTCTGAGGCTGTGATGCAAAGCCCTGAGGTCAGAGCTGCCAATTGGGAGTCCTTTATGAGCCATCCATGCTCCAGAGGGCAGATCGTCTACAGGGAGCTGAGCTGATTCAACATTCACCTGAACGTCTCTCGCTATTTTTCTTCCTAGTTCTGAGAATTCGGGAAACATGATAAGGAATTGGCTGGCTATTTTTATCCTTTTTCCCCTGAAGCTCGTAGAGAAATGTGGTAAGTTTAGAAATGACATATTTTTATCCTTTTTCCCCTGAAGCTCGTAGAGAAATGTGGTAAGTTTAGAAATGACATGTCAACTTTGTAAAGAGGGAAATGGTGGCTAGAGGAAGTAGTCGTCTGATCTGTTTGTTGCCAAGGGTTTAGTACCCGTCAGACCACGTGTCTCTGTTTGCTCCTTAGCCATGTGACCCCTGGGGTGGTGGAGCGGAACCAGGTCTGGGATCCAGGTGTTTGGCAAAGAGCCAGATAGTTCCACAAATAATTGGCCTTCTGCCCTGGTATCTCTGTGCCTTTCCTGTATCATGAAAGTGAACAGTTGGTTCTTAAAGTCAGACTATGCAGCTGATTCTCCAAGTCAAACTGTAGAGCCCCAACAACCTGGGATTATATCTTAAAGACTGGCTCAGGCTGGAGCAGTGGCTCTTCACGCCTATAATCCCAGAGCTTTGGGAGGCCGAGGCAGGAAGATCTGTTGAGGCCAGGAGTTTGAGACCAACCTGGGCAACGTAGTGAAACCCCATCTCTATTAAAAAATAATTTTTAAAACTTAGCTGTGTGCAGTGGCTTGTGCCTATAGTCCTAGCTACTTGGGAAGCTGAGGCAGGAAGATCACCTGAGCCCAGGAGGTAAAGGCTACAATGAGTTATGATCACACCACTTCACTCCGGCCTGGGCAACAGAGTGAGACCCTGACTTGAAAAAAAAAAAGAAGGCCGTGTGCGGTGGCTCATACCTGTAATCCCAGCACTTTGGGAGGCCAAGGCGGGCGGATCACAAGGTCAGGAGATTGAGACCATCCTGGCCAACATGGTGAAACCCCATCTCTACTAAAAAATATATATATATACAAAAATTAGCTGGGCATGATGGCGGGCGCCTGTAGTCCCAGCTACTCAGGAGGCCGAGGCAGGAGAATTGCTTGAACCCAGAAGCCAGAGGTTGCAGTGAGCTAAGACTGCGCCACTGCACTGCAGCCTGGCGACAGAGCAAGACTCTGTCCCACCCCTGAAAAAAAAGAATAATGGCTTATGTCCCTGCCTGTGGACCTCACAGAGAGAGTCCTGGGTCCTGGGAAATAGCGGGGAAGCAGAAGAGGTGGCCACCCTGTTGTACCTGGTTCTGCCAGGCACAGGTCATCTGAGGAGTCTGCCCAGCATCCCCTTGTAAGGTGAGAAAACCTGTCCCTTAGAGAGGGGCTGAGGAACAAAGTACAACGCCCCGCAGGGCTAGGGGTCACTTGGAACACAGGCTGGGATGCAGTTTACACGTCCTTGTAGGAGGACTGACCTTCAGCACAGGCCTCTTTGACACTCGTGCCCTTCTAGCAATTCTCCTACTGCCCAAAACATCTCTGGAATTCCTTCCATAAAGAGCCGTGTTTAGCACTTCCAGGGTGCCGGGCCCATTCATTTCATCCTCAGCTTGCCTGTTGGGTCAAATACAAAAATTAGATACGTTTTTTGTTTGTTTTTTGTTTTGAGACAGAGTCTCACTCTGTCACTGGGGCTGGTGTGCAGTGGCACGATCTCAGCCCACTGCAACCTCCACCTCCCGAGTTCAGGCAATTCTCCTGCCTCAGCCTCCTGAGTAGCTGGGATTACAGGCGCCCGCAACTACGCCCAGCTATTTTTTTGTATTTTTGGTAGAGACGGGGTTTCACCATGTTGGCCAGGCTGGTTTCAAGCTCCTGACCTCGTGGTTCACCCGCCTCGGCCTCCCAAAGCGCTGGGATTACAGGCGTGAGCCGCCGTGCCTGGCCCAGATACATCTTAAATTCCCATTTCAAGTGAACCTTAACAAACCACACAAATCCTGCAGAGGTCTCCCCCAGAGCCTAGCACCACTGCAGTTATCTGGCCTCTTGCATCTCTGAGGAAACAGTGGTCACGTGATCATCTCTTCCAGGTTTGTTAAACAATCAGCAATGTTTGTTTGTAGTCACACCTTGTGGATAAGCAATTTCGGGGAAAGGCAGGTCTTTCAGACGCTGGAGCCTGGTGTTTTGAAACCCCTTCCCCGCCCTCCAGGATCAGACTTTGTGAGACTGAGGCTGGAGCGTGTGTGCGCACGCGCGTGTGTGTGTGCCCAGGCG